CACTCATGGTCTAGAAAATTCAGTCGAACTACCAACCCGCATTCCAGATGACAACAACCAGTCTGCCAATACACTGTATACATTGTATCTTAATTAGTTATATTTTTATTATTCATTAGATTAGATTTGTATCTTAATTAGTTATATTTTTATTATTCATTTATTTGTATTTTTTTTTAACGTTTCAGCAACAAAAATACACCCACGCACAACTTCGGTTTTAGTGGGATTCTCTATGTTTGTTTGTAAGAAACTATTACACTATAAAAATGTCTTCTATGTGGAAATATTTGCAGAATAAACATTATTATTATTATTATTATTATTATTATTATTATTATTATTACTAGATCTTTTTCTCACCAGCAATTCTGATCCATATAGAATAGAAGGTTGTGCCCTACTTGGAAACTCTGACCACACCCTTATCTCCACAATATGCTCTTTCCATGTACCAACCAGCACGACAATTCCTACCCGTCTCATGTGGCATTACAATTTGGCCGTATGTTTTTTCAGCGTTTTCATGGAAAAGAGTTTGTTTTCTTCTCAGCAGATCCAACACGATGTGCTGAGACAATTACTGAAATCATCGTGTTGGGGATGTTAACCTACATACCGAACAATGTAAGGAGAACATCTTCCAATAAGGTCTGGTTCAAGAGAAACTGCTCTAGAGCTGTCGTTTCCAAACAGGCAACATTCCATCGATGGCAAAAAAATCCAGGCCCTGAGACTTAAGCAGAATATGTCGAGGCTAGAGGCATATGCAATGAGACAATTCGATCAACAAAAGATCCTCATAATGCCAAAATATGATCAAAACTTGTTGAATGTCCTAACGGATCCCGTTCATTTCGGTCCATCGCCAAAGCTGTAGGAAGAAACTTCACTTCCAGCTCGTTTCCTTCTTAAACCAAGGAAGATGGAACACTAGTCACCAACTGCCTAGGAAAAAGCCGAGATTCTTGCGCATTCATTTGCTGGAAATTGCACTCTGGATTCATCGGGAAAACAACCTCCAAACATGACGCCAATTGACAGTCATATGCCCGAGATCACCTCTCGTCGACGTACTATAAGGAATATTTTATTGGGTCTCAACGCCAACAAAGTTTGTGGCTCCACGGAATCCCACCTATTGTCTTCAAGAAATGTGTTCCTGAACTGACACCTGTTCTCTGCAAGCAACTACACTTACGAATTGGGAATATTTCCGTCCAACTGGAGGATTGCAAGAGTACAACCAGTTCCTGAATAAGGCAAGAAGACCCTACCTAGCAACTGCAGACCTATCACACTGCTATCAATTATTTCAAAGATCATGGAGAAAGCTGTCAGCATGAAATACCTGGAACATTCAGGTATTATCAACGATAGGCAATATGGATTTCGTCATCAGAGATCAACTGGTGACCTGCTCGCTTACGTGTCACATATATAACAGCAATGTATTGAAAAATATAGTGAAACCTTAGCCGTTGCACTTGATATCTCCAAGGCATTCGATCGAGTCTGGCACCACGGACTCCTCGCAAAGCTTAGTAGTATAGATTTCATAGTGTAGGGCCGATCACAGAGCCTTGTGGGACTCCACATGTGATCTGCATATCTCTAGCCGCTTCGACGATTAGTAGTCTGTCTTCCAGATAGCTAGAACTAGAAATCATGTTATATAGGTATGGGGCTATCTCTTTGTTCTTGATTTCCTTCAGGATTCCTACCCATGGTGCCGAATTGAATGCGTTCTCATCACGCATCTGTTCCTACCGATTCTCTGGTTTGCTTCGTCGGCAAATTCCTTGAACTCTTTCTAGCGCGTCAGTTGTGGACCTTGTTGCGCGAAACCCATATTGTTCTGCAGCCTCGCCAGGATAAGTTGTTCGAGGAGTTCACCAAGGGCGTTAAGTACACATGTTGGCCTATATGACTTATTTCTCTAATTAGGTTTGCCTTTCTCAATCAGTATCAGTCTCGACCCAGTATGATAAATGTAAAAACTTCACAAGCGATAAGATTTCCACAAAATTCTTAAACACACAACATGTTTCGCTAACACAGTAGCTTCGTCCGGTGACATACTGGTACAATGAACTAAACCAACGTTGGCTTGCTCAACTTTTATATATCCTAGTTTCCCAACTTGAAGGATTAATTACCTATGGACAGGATCGATAAACCTCCATTTTCGGAACTTAGGCACAATATCTACATCGAATTACGCGGTATACCGGATCAACTTGAAAGGGTTGATAGCAAATAAATATCATTACCTACTAAGAAAACAAATTCAACAATGGTGAACTATTGAGGTCTAATTGATCATTAAGTAGAATGTCAAAATTTTTGAGTTTGTTGATTTCTAATGATTTAAAATGATTGAGTCTCAGTCCTGTATTTTCTACGTGAAGATTTTCGAAATCATCATCAAAACTATGGTTTCCTTCTAATATATGGTTGGCGTTTGATGAGTTTGTTTTGTTTTTCGTACCACCTGTCTGACCGATACGTACGTTCAATCAGCGCATTCATGAACATAGGATGAATTTTTTGAAGAAGAAAACAAGTTCAACATACGCCAACCATATATTAGAAGAAAACCATAGTTTTGATGAAAATTTCGAAATTCTACATGTAGAAAATAAGGGAATGGAACTCAATCATTTTGAATCATTACTTTACTTTACTTTAGTTTATTCAACAACGTTATGAACAAAAAAATACATTTGTTGCAGGTCATGAACATTACATCTAGTAAGTAAGGGGAAGCTTTCGTGACTGTTCTATAATAATATTCTTGCAAATATAAGTGGGATGCAGTCTGGACCAATGAATTAATTAGATTTCTTCGTTATTTGTCGAGCTTTCGAAAATTTTTATTTTCTTTATCAAGACTAAAAACATGAAATTCTATATAAAATTAGCACAAAAAGGAAACATAGGTGTGCTAATTTTATATAGAATTTCATGTTTTTAGTCTTGATAAAGAAAATAAAAATTTTCGAAAGCTCGACAAATAACGAAGAAATCTAATTAATTCATTGGTCCAGACTGCATCCCACTAATATTTGCAAGAATATTTCTAGTAAGTAATGTAGGGTTATGAACATGAGTGCATATAAATGGTAACAAATCAATAAAGCACACACAAAAAAACAGAAAAACAGAGTTTTGTCAAACACAAACAAAAATGTTAAAATTGAATAGCTATTATACTTATTGTACTATGAACCTAACACGAAGATCAACAAATCAGCATGTAAATATGGACGTCAAATTCAATTTCATATCAAGTTTCGAATGGTGTTCGTAAGAATTCCTCAGTTGTATAAAAACAGTGCTTCACAATGAATGTTCTCAGGAGATTTTTAAAGTGAAGGTAATCAGTATTGGTCAGTTTAGTTGGAAGAACATTATAGAGCTTCAAATTTATGTAATTTTTTTGTGATTTTGCAAGTCGGTATCTTGGAATTTGCAGTAGATTAGCAGACCTAGTATTGTATTCATGATGATCACCCCGAACCTGAAATTTATTTTTGTCTTTATGGATTTCCAGTAACGAATAGTAAATAAATAGCGATGGCAAAGGCATTATGGAATATTTAATGAATTGCGGTTGGCAGTGCTGACAGGTGCTCGCACCAGCAATGACTCTTATTGCCCATTTCTGCAATCGGAAAATCTTTATAGCATTTGTAGCATCACCCCAAAGAATAATAAATAATAATAATTTGTAGCATTACCCCAAAGAATAATTCCATAACTCAAATGACAAATGTGAGTGGATTAGGGGATTAGAAATCAACAAATTCATAAATTTTGACATTTTACTTAACGATCAATTAGACCTCAATAGTTCACCACTGTTGAATTTGTTTTCTTAGTAAGTAATAATATGTGTTTGATATCAACCCTTTCAAGTTAATCCGGTATACCGTAATTTAATGTAGATATTGTGCCTAATTTACGAAAATGGAGGTTTATCGATCTTGTCCACAGGTAATTGATCCTTCAAGTTGGGAAAGTAGAATATATAAAAGTTAAGCAAGCCAACGTTGGTTTAATTCATTGTGTTTGAGAATTTTGTGGAAATCTTATCGTTTGTGAAGTTTTAACATTCGCCATGGATTTCCATCAAGTAACGGCCGAGTCGATTAAAAAAATAGCCAGTAGGATATTGTACTTAGTCGACCAGTACAAACTATTACATATATACGAAATGGATAATCCATTATCCAACTATACTACTGTTCCATTTTCTTGCAGCACATACTCCATATCGTTTGCCCTATCCTCACTAACTTTTCATATCTGTTATTTCCTTTCGGATCTGTTTGAGGCTTCTCTTCACTGAAATCAGATGTGAAATTACTGAACGAGAAAATAAACTGCTATGCATTTTATGATTACATGCCTCATCATCAACAAAAGATTATATTAACGAAAAAATGTCCTCTTTATTCATAAAATAATATCACCTAATATAAATTTGTTCTTCAGTCGATTATGTTTTCTACATATCAATTGCTCCTAACTATCTTTTATGGCGAACATTGTCTAATGATTTGACACGTCAACATATGCAGGGTGATTAAGGTCACACATTATAGATGTTCTTCAACTTGTGATAGATAGTTGACCCAAATTATCTAAAATTGTCTGAGCTCAGAATTGAAAGGCTTATCAAACCGTGTGGAAGAAATCTAGGTTTCCATTTGAAATGAATTGATTGGTTTCTACTTCTGGCATATCCTGTATGGCTGAGAGACTGGAAATATATCAGGTGTATCGAAATGAATTGATGATAACAGCACATCAATTCTCAAGTTTTCCATCGAACTGCAAGTTTGAGAACCTCTGATGTGTGGCCTATGGAAATCACCCTGTACTAATATAATAAGAACATAGGAAGTCGAATCAAATTTTTTTGATAATCTAGTGTGCTAAGGATACGAGTTCGTTTTGTATTGTCCATTCATCCTTATATTATCTTATATCCGACTTTCATCAGAACGTGCTGATATTCAGTTGACGAGGACTAGTAGTAGGTAGTTTAGATAAATGATCCTCGATATTTACTCAAACACTCCAATTCAAAAGTTGTCTATGACACCAATAAATATTCACATTAAGATCGGTCATTCATATTCTCACATCAAATTATGCTGCTACTCAGTTTCTCAACGTCAGTGCCATTTTCGAAAATACCACCGCCATTCTGGCCACCTTTCACTAGTAGTTCACTGTTCTTATCATCAACCGTCTCCCGCACACCTGGCAACAATTTCTCCTGGATCTCCATGAAACTTTTTCCCTTCGTTTCAGGAACGAAAACGAAAGCAAAAATAGTGGAACAAAACGATAATATTGCAAAACACCAGAAGGTCCCAGATCTTCCCAGCGTCTCAGTCATATCGTTGAAAGTATTCGTAGTAACGAAAGAAACCATCCAGGAGCAAATGGAGATCGAAGAAGCAGCCACCTGCTTCACATTACTCGGAAATAATTCGGCAGTCAAAGTCCAAGGCACCGTACAAATACCGAGATTGAAGGACACAATATAGCTGATGAGACTCACGATTGGTATCCAGAAAATGGGCTCCGCCTTCAAAACATCCTGTATGTAGAAAAACGTGCCCAGAGTAGTAAGTGACAAGCACGTGCCGATACATGACCAGATAACAAGGTTCCTTCTTCCAGATCTGTCCACTAAAAACGGTGCGATGAAACTCGACACCAGCATCACGAACCCCACAATCAGAGCTGAAATGTGTGGCTGGACTGCGCTATCTGTAGCAGCAAATATAGACTGCAAATGGTACGTGATCACTGAGAACCCAGACAGTTCTTGCGTTGCGATCAGTACGAAGCAGATCATGAAACACTTCCTCAAGGTTGCACTTTTCACAATGTCAAGGAAATGGCCGTCCTCGTTCGATTTCATGTATATCTTTATCCGTGTCAGCTCTTCTTCAACCGCATCTGCGTCAGCCGACCTTAGCAACATCAGTGCCTTCTCAGCTTCTCTGAACTTTTTTACTCCCACCAAGTAATAAGGTGTTTCGGGGCAAAATAACGTGAAGATCACCAAGAACACTATCGGAATCAAGGCGAGGATCGAATTGAACATGAAGACAGAGAGGAACGGTCCGATAGCGTACGGTATGAAGTTCCCTATGGCCCAGAACACGTTCAAGGTCAGGGACATGCCTCCCCTGCTGGAATCCTCAGCTATCTCGCCAATGTACGTCGCCAACATGGTGTAACCTCCGCCCACGGCTATGCCACTGACGAATCGCGCCAGAAGGAACAAGTTGATGTTCCTGGCGAAGGCCATGGTGACGTAGGAGATCACGTGAGGCAAGGCTATGCACAGCAGGGCTGGTTTCCTGCCGAAGGCCGCCGAGATGTAGCCGAAGAACGGGGAGCCTATGATGGCGCCGAAGTTGAGGAGGGAGCCCAGCCAGGTGTCTTCATCAGGGGTTATGGGCCTGCCCAGTGGGTTGATGGTGGAGTCGTTGGAGTACAGCTTCGGGTAGATGGGCGAGGTCCATGAGAAGGATATGTCGCCTGTGGTGGCCAATAAGTCGACTGAAAGTAAAAGTGGTTTTGAAATGAGGCTATCAGCGCAACAACGGCCTAAGAAAAAAATTTCAGATAATCTGTTTTCTTTCTGAAAAAATTCCTCACAAGATAAACTCCCATGCAACAATGGCTAAATATTTGTTTCATTGTAACAAGAGGGCAGCAATATATGCATTTATTCATTTCAATATTTTGGTGGATGAGTGAATGCGATAGGCTAGTATTACTTCACGTCTTCTTAGTGAGGAAACGAATAATTTGCATTGTTTGCAAGACAATAAAAGTGCTAAGAAGTGTGTTCATTAGGTGGTTTCAAGTCTTATTTCAAGTAATTTGGTATCAGTATGGCTTCTACATCTTTTGCTTCTGGAGGTAGGTACTGTTGTATCAGATTTCTCAATCACGCGCATGGGTCGACAGTGTCTAGCGAAGGCGAGACAAAGAAATCCAAGAACTACTTGAAGGAAAAAATCGTCAACAAGGAGCAAAAGAGCAATAAGTAACTAGAAGCGGATTGAGGTAAAATCGATCTAAACTCTGGTAATGAAGCAAAGGCTTTTCAAGGAGTAAGAGAATGTTGTTAGTTCAACAATCGCGAAAATCTACCCCAACGTCAACAATCTATTTTAAAAATTTTCAAATCGTGTTATTCGATCGGTCAATATATGGAAAAAATCATCTCAAACCTGTGAACCACCGAACTCAAGACACAAGATCACAAAGGGAAAACCGTAAAAAAAAGATCTGGATCTGATTCCCTTCATAAAATGAGAATGTCAGAGGACGCATCAGAAGAAATATTTTCAGAGGAAGAAGACAACACTTATAGTTATTTATAGTCAGAAAGAAGAATCAAACTCCCAATTATTATGATATATATCACATATATATAAACTATTTATGGTTCCCGTTGTGCTATAGTTCCGAAAACATAGCCAATAACCACTAAATTCGCAATTTTTTGGAATCAAATCACAGAATCCGACTGACAGATATTTGATAATTCCAGAAGAATGATGAAGATGCCTGCAAAGAGATGCCTGCAATTCAAGTGTCATGCCTGCAATTCGAGTGTCACATTTTTTTTCCTGTCACAGAAAAAAATGTGTATAATACACGGGAAATATATTAGATTTAAGCTCACCACCTGGAGCTGAAATCTACTACTGTTTTCCCTTGTATATTGAATAACTATTTTTTTGCTCATGATATACTCAGTGGCAAAATTTTCGCTCCAAATTCTGAATTCGCCCCTGGAGCAGTTGCCTCTAGTGCCCTGTGATTAATCCGGCCCTGGATATACAGAAATAACACACATAATTCAACTAACTATAGTATTTCAATCGTCAATTTGATATACGAGTTGGTTATAAAAGTTTCTGTCGACTATATTTCTCCTGGTAGTGCGTTATGTTAGCACAAGAATATTGCTATTTTGGCTACCAGCATGAAATTCGGTACACATGTTGATGAATATATAGAAAACAAAAAATCATCGGGACACTCGCTGTATCTGGAATATTTCAGCCGCCATTTTTCAAAATGGCGACCGAAAGCTGGATTTTTGCCAATATCTCCAGAATGGTGGAAAATATCGGGAAAGTTCAGGCTGATGAAATATAGACGATAGTAAGGCGGACATTTTTTGTTCGAAACATTTTTTTGTCAGACGAATCAAAAATTCAATAACCGGAATATTAAAATTCAATTTTTCAAGGTTCAAGGTTCAAATGGAAACATTCAGGCTAAGATTAGCCACAGAAATCATGATCATGAGTTATCTGTATGATGAACTCTTTTTTGAGGATTCAAAGGTACCATTACGTAAAATGGCGGTCAATTATTTTAATCTAAATAAAATCATATATCAATCATGTTATAGGCTTGATGTTTAATTAGGTTCGATTAGATCAGTAAGAATCTTGGTGAACTAACTAATACAACAGTATTACAAATAATGTTTATTGAGTACACTGTCCATCACACTGCAAATCAAATCTATTGCATTTGCAGTTCTTAATACACATTGTTTTGCATCTGCATTAATTCTGAACATTCATCAGATGCTTGTGGCAAAACTGTCCAAAGTGGTTCAATCGTTTCATCTTGACATTCCAGATTTGACGACTTCCATCCCCAGTTAGTTGCATTTGGAATATATGGTTGCAATTCCAGGGTGTGAAAAATTGAGTGAGAGATCAAAGTGAGTATACCGGGTAAGGCATTTATATTGAGACAAAATTATATCTCGGTTCGACTCGATTATTTCGAAAGACATTTCAGACAAATAATGTAAGGCCAATGATTTCCAATCCAAATCTGTGCTGAACAATGGGTGTTTCTATTAAAAAAATCGACATTCGCTCTAAAGGCCCCACTTCCGGTCTAGTACAATATTTCTCAGATTTTTTTTTTTCGAAATAATCGAATACAAGCGAGATATAATTTTGCCTCAAGATAAATGCCCCACCCGATATATTCTAGAGTTAAAAAAGATCTTCTATATTTCTAGATGAACACGTGTGTAAGGAGGATTTTCAGGAATAGGTAGGGATACTTGGTAACGTGGTAATTGTTGGTATTTTAAATGATTTTTTGAGAAAACGAGGATTTTCCACTGAATATATTCAATTTATTGACTTTAATATCAGCCTCACAAAAAAATGTTTCGGACAAAAAATGTCCGCCTTGTAATGTTCTTTATTTCATAGGTTTGACATCTTTCAAAATTTTGCACCGTTCTTGAGATATCAGCAAAAATCTAGTTTTAGGCCGCCATTTCAGAAAATGGCGGACGAAATATTCCAGACACAGCTTGTGTCTCGATGGTTTTTTGTTTCCTATATATTTATCATCATGTATGCCAAATTTCATGCTGGTAGCCAGAATAGCAATATTCTTATACTTTTTTGAACCAACCCAACGCACTATGGTGAGGACGAAAATCATCATCATTCGGAAAATACTAAAAATCACCCAGTGTCGTGGAAGTAATCTCACCACTGATGTTTGACAGCTTGGGAAATTAATGGAAAATAAATTCTTTGTGAATTGAAAAGGGAATCAAAACTGATTCAGAGTCGTCAATATCTTCGATGAAATCGAAATCGAATCGAGATGGTTCGGGAATTATAATAGGCGAGTGTGGACTAATTTTTTTCATTTCTCGAATAGAATCATCACTCATATACCTTCCGATTTCATATTTTTTCAGAATTAATTTTCGGTCGATTTTCAGGTGGTAAAATCATCAATAATGCCACGTAACTTTCAAACGGATAGAAATCTACCGCGAGTAAACACTGATGGCACGATTTCATAAGTAGGGGAAGACCATATCACAGTTGCCATGTGTTGTAAAACGATTGGGAACTTCAGAAATATTAGTTATTCAAACATCAATAAATTTTCAATTGGTAATATTCCTATTTGGCAATACAAAATCAATTGTCTCAAAATGTTCCCTTATGATTTGTGGCTTATTACTTATAATACATTTGTGTGAATAGTAATTATATTAATTCACACCCCTCTCAGCATTCTGCACAATGTTGCCAAGTCTCCAACATTTACATGAAATTTTGTTATGAAGTATTACACATATTTGGACATGCTGGTTGCGCGAAAGAGTCAAGAATGAACTATAATATCATAGGTTCCTCCTATTATGTTTTATTCAACGACAGGACTCTCACATCTTTTTGATAACTTGATTATAATTGGTGACTTGACAACCATGCTTCATGAGTGGAAATGAAAGATTATCTGACCAATAGAGAAACAGCATAAAAGCTGACGTCACCATTCATTCGACGTATCGCCAAAAAGTGGCGATGACGGTACGTTTGAAATGAGCTCCGAAATTCAACAATTTCGAACAACGCATACACTCATTATTTACATCAAAAAGTGTGGGAAATGTTGCAAAAATCAATTTAGGTCCTTAACGACACAGTGTAGTAATTGAATGAATAATAATTCAGTCAAGTCCACTCGCCCATTCCAACAGTAAAACGACGCGGCATATGTTTGGTTTCCTATATTACGATGATCGATCGATAAATTGATCGTGAATAGCGGTCATCAACGATTAATTTCGTGTACGGGGTGATTCACCATAAATGTCCCCCCACTCTAGTTCAGTTATTTTTCAACCGATCCCAAAATCTGAAGAATCATTCGAATTGATTTTCGATCACTTTCTTTTCCACTACATCAGAAAATACATAGTGCTCGGAACAAACGATCTACAGGGTACTCGTTGATTTTTTCGAATCGAACACCCTGTACATCATTGCATGTTCAGATTGTCCCTGAACCAATACATTACACTTGGGGTCTAACAGGAATGATTGCAGAGGTATATAGGGTAATAAAAATCGAGATTTTTCAACTTTGTTTCGAAACTATTCATTTTTGTTCAAAACTGTTGCCATGTCCCCATCTCAACTTTTGATTCACTATCTACTGACATCTAATTATTAGAACAGATACAGGGTGATCAAAATTCTGATTCTTGAATCACCCTGTATTGTTCCAATATAATGTCAGTAGATAGTGAATCAGAAGTTAAGATATGACATGTGAGTCGTTTTGAACAATAATGAATAGTTTGGACACGAAAAAATCCTGGAATTGGAGAACCTTGATTTTCAACACCCTATATCTCTGTAATCTTTCCCGCTAGACCCCAAGGGTGATGAATATTGATGGAATCAGCTTTTCATGAGAAATCTGGAAATGCAATGAAATATAGGTTGTAGATCTTTTGTTCCGAGCCCCTGTATAAGTTCATGTTTGGTAATTCTGAATAAAAATCCTAAGATAGAGAGAATATCGTTGTTCCCAAATGAATATCATGATTCCTGTTAATTTATTGCATCATTCAAGAATATAAACCCCAATTGAGAATTTTGTAATCTTGCTGGTAATGAATATTGTTTTGGTTATCAAGTATTATCGTGATCTTGATTCGATATAAATCAGTCAACAATTTCATCATTTGA